GGTGAACTGTGACGGTTTCCAGGTGACAATCCACCACTACTCTGCTGTATTCCCCCCCCCTCCTCTTCCATCACTCTCTTACTCAGAAAAACTTATTAATGAAATGGCCTTAGCAGGAATATCATGTTTTGTGTGACTCTGTACATGAATAAAGTGAAAATCATGGATGTAAGGAAGGAGAAATGGTTTTTCTGGAAAAGGCAGAAGGCTGGAGCCTCGTGTGATGATGAAGGTGAGCAGGTGTAGTGTTTCCTTCCACCCATTTGGAATCACAGCATGGGTTGGGTTGGAAGGGACCTTGAAGCCCATCCAGATCCACCCCCATTCCACTATCCCAGGTTGCTCCAAGCCCTGTCCAGCCTGACCTTCAACCCTTCCAGGCAGCCACAGCTTCCCTGGGGAAACTGCCAGGGCCTCTCCCCCCTGCCAGGGTAGAATGTCTTCCTAATATCCAACCTAAACTTCCCCTTTTTCAGTTTGAAGTCATTATCTCTTGTCCTGTTAGTCCAGCCCCTCTTCAGCTTCCTTACAGGCACCTTTGGATCCTGGAAAGCTGCTCTGAGGTTTCCCTGGAACCTTCTCCATGCCACAGGTTTCCAGCCTGTCCCTGTCCCAAAGTGTCCCCCCTGATCAGATCATCCAGTCACCAGAAGGCTCTCAATGTTCCAATATTCCCATATTTTAATAAGAACAGTTGAACAGTAACTCACTTCCATACATTCCCAGAGTACAAAAACTTCCCTGGCTCCAGTTCCAGGCGCTCAGGATTTAAATATATCTACAGCCTCTTTCCATCGGTCACTGGGGACAACTGAGCTTCACCAGGAATAAATATTTCAAATATAACCTCTTGGAAACGTTCTCTTTAAAAAAAAAAAAAAATTCCCTTTCTTCTACGTTAGAATTCCATGGCAACACCTCCGGCATCCCTTTAGGACCAAAAAAAAAAATAGCTCTGTGCCACGGATGGGGGGGTGTGTTTATTGCTGGACAACAGGCCCTCACCAGGCTGGATTGTGCTTACCTTTCCCAAAGTTCTGCTCACAGCTCCAGCTGGGAAAGTTTCTGTGGGAATACTACAGTAACAGGCAAAGGAAACAGGAAAAGTAACTGGAAAAGATGGCAGGTTTTTACACAGTGGCAACTGGGAAGCTGATCCCGAGTTTTGGAGTGGTAAACCACAGCAGGGAGCTGCTGCTCCCCAAAAAAAGAGTCATCCCCAGTCAGATGACAACTCTCAAAGGCTCCTTCCCCACCACCCAGGGAAAACATCCCAAATCCTATTCCAGTAAAATGGAGCGGGAGGTGCTGACCAGGAAAAGCCTGTAAATTGAACCTTTTCCAGAATGGCTGGTTTTCCCAGACATTTTTCCAAGAGATGTTTTGGTCTCTAAGTGCCCAATTCCATGTGAGCTGGAGCAGTTGGAAGGTGGAGACTGAAGTGCCAGACTGCTCCAGTTTTCATGGAATTGTGGAAACACGAACCAGCACTTGGCTCCCACCTGCTATTTAAGAGACTCAAAACTCCCGGAAAGAAACTCCAAAGCTCCCACTCGTATTCCCAAGGAGTGAGCTGGCTCACTGCTGGGGTCTTTGGCAAAAAGCAGAGAGAAACCAAGGTTTCCCTGGAAAGCAATTTAGCCAGACTTATCTCCTGGATCAATTCCTGCCGGGGAAAATGCAGCGAATGTCACGGAGAAACACAACCTCGGTTCTCCTGATTGTCCACGTGGCATCAAAATCACCTGGAAAACAAACCTGCACCACCTTCAGAACCCACCCGAACACGGTACCTGAGCCACCCCCTCCGCTCCCAGGGAATCAACCTCCAGGGAGGAGTGACCGAAGTGTCACCCTGATGACTCTCCGGGAGATGGAGCTGCGGAATGAATTTTCAGAGGAATCCGGGGAAAATCCACTCCCACCTTGCTTCCCACTACCAGCTTCCCTCAGGCAAAAGGGCTATACAAAGGGGTGCAGCTCAAGGAGTCACAGTGAGTCCCACGTTATTCCATGTTCACCAGCGCGTGGAGCTGGGGCTGGACGGAGTCCTGCTGCGCGTGGAGCACCGTCAGCTCGCTCAGCGCGCTTCCCATCAGGGCTTCCTGCGATCCCGGCCCTCCGGATGACTTACAGTCCGTGCCGGCGGTGCCGCCGCCCGGGACGGCCGCCAGGCTCTGGTAGGGGCTGCTCTCGGGGAAGGACAGCAGCTTCTCCGGGATTTTGGGGGACACGGCGTACTCCTCGTCGGGGAGCTCCGTCTTGTGGCCGTCGTCGCTCTTCGACGCCCCCTCCACGATGACAAGGAAGGACTTCCAGGGGGTGTTCTTGTCGTGGATCTGCAAACGAAGAACCGGGGAAAGAGAAGGTCGGACACGCGAGACGGCAAGGAAAAAAAGTTTGATGCTGGCAGGAAATTTTTAGGATGGGGGAAGGGTCTGGGGCTCCTACCGAGGTGTGCCGGCGCAGCGTGGACTTGTCGGTGAAGGTCCTGCCGCAGGCGTTGCACATGAAGGGCTTCTCGCCGGTGTGGATGCGGTGGTGCCGCTGCAGCGCGTTGAGCTGCGTGAACTGCTTCCCGCACTGGTCGCAGCAGTACGGCCGCTCCCCTGCCACACAGCGCCGCCTTAGAGCCCCCAGCACCTCCCACGTACACCAAAACCCCTCCCTTTGGGGAAAAAAAGAAATCCCGCTTTCCTCCTTCCCCAGCCAGGGCAGGAGCTCGGAGCTGAAACAGCGTTCTTGCGCGCTAATTATCCCGGTTGGTTATTAACAACATCTCCACAGCCCTTGGAAGTATTCCAGGGAATTGCCAGCGCTCGGGAAGAAGCAGGAGCGGTGCTGGCATCAAGAATCAAGCCAGTGCATGCAGGGTCAGAATTCAAGCCAGAATTCCCCCCCTGGCTGGGGAATTCCTCGCTGGAATATACTGCAGTGTGTCTCAAACATAAAAGAGCACGTCCTACCTGTGTGGACCTTGATGTGCTGGTACAGGGAGTTCCTCTGGGCGAAGGTCCGGAAGCAAACCTCGCACTTGAAGGGTTTGGATCCCGTGTGGATCCGGTTGTGGTGCTTCAGGTATTCCTTGGAGGCAAAGCTCTTCCCACACGTTTCACACATGAAAGGCCTTTCCCCTAAAAAAAGGGGGGGGGGAAAGGAGAATTAAACCAACAGGGCTTTGGGAATGCTCCTAAACATCCCAGCCAAAACTGAGGGACCTTATGGAGCGTGTCCTCCCTCCAGGGTCTGAGGGGACCTTTAAAGGTCACCCAGTCCCAAATCCTGCCATGGGCAGGGACACCTTCCACTCAGCCCCACCACCCTCAGAGGGAGGAATTACTCCCCGATACCTAATTTAAATAAACCCTCCTTCAGCTTAAAAATCACAGAATATCCTGAGGTATCGGGTATTTTTAGTTTTCTCAGCAAACCTGCATCTGGAGATGACAGCATCTTGTTTGATATTAAAAAAACCAACAACAAAAAAAAGCATTTTCTGAAGGCAAACGGTTTCCAGCTTTCCCAGAACGGCTTGTTTGGGTTTTTTTTCCCCCCCTGTTTTCCGAGCCTCCTCCGCCCCGGGTCCCGATGGCTCCTCACCTGTGTGGCAGCGCCTGTGATAGATGAGCATGTGGTTCTGAGTGAACCGGGCCCCACACTCATCACAGACAAAGGGCTTTTCCCCCGTGTGGATTCTGAAAGGAGAAAGGAACGTTCAAACACCAGGCTGAGCTCTTCCCTCCGTGGAACAACCCGGGCCGGGGGTGTTCAGGGCTGGTGCAGCGCCGGATCAACGCCCAGAGCCAGGAATTCCAGGGTAAACACAGATGTTAAAAGGTATTTTTTTAAGGTATAACAACGTTTAAGCGGATCAACTCGTTTCCTTGGGCTAGGGAAGGGCAGGTGAAGCTCTGGGAACTGATAAAATCAGGTTAAAGCCCCTCAGAGATATTTTCCCCTTATAAAAATGCCCTGAGACAGATGAAAAAACTGATGAAATCAGGTTCAACCTTCCAGAGATGATTTTTTTCCCCTGATAAAAAAAGTCTCTGACCTAACAGAAATAAAATAATGGTTAAAATCTGGTTAAATCCCTCAGAGGTAATTTTTTCCCCTCAGGAAAGTGCCCTGAGACAGATAAAATCAGGTTCTACCCCTCAGAGATGATTTTTTCCATCAAACAGATAAAATAAGGGGTAAAATCAGGCTCAAGGCCTGCACAGTTGATTTTCGACCTGCTAAAAATGCCTCTTCCCTCAGACAGATAAAACAAGGGATAAAATCAGGTTAAATCCCTCAGAGATTATTTTTGCCCTCTTAAAAATACCCTGAGGCAGATAAAATAAATTATAAAATCAGGTTCAACCCCTCAAGAGACAATTTTTGCCCTGATAAGAACATCTCTTCCCAGAGAGGCAAAAGAATTGATACAATGAGATTTAACCCTTCAGAGATGACTTTTACCCTGACAAAATCACCCTGAGACAGACAAAATAACTGGTAAAATCAGGCTATAAACCCCTCAGAGAGGAAATCAGGTGAAACCCCTCAGAGAGGATTTTTGCCCTACGATCTGTCACTTGTTCTGTTCCCACCTCCGTTTTTTAACCCTCCTTGGCTCCCAAATCTGGTGTTCTCCCCCTTAAAACCCGGTCAAGCCTTTCCCAAATATTTCCAGGCTTCTTTACTGTCTTGGCCATAAGGAGGCAGCAAATGAGCTGGAGTAATTCCCGCCCTGATTGATCCCCTGGGAGAAGCTCTCCAGCAGCAGCAGCAGCAGCAGCAGCAGCAGCAGCAGCAGCAGCAGCAGCGCTCGACCTGTGACCTTCTAGTGAGGGCAAAGCAGAGGGGGAAAAAGGGAAACAGGGAAAGGCTCCAGGAGATTGCGCTCGTCCCCCCCCACCGGATCTCCCGAGGCCAGGGAAGGCCGATCGTACCTCATGTGGGTTTTTAGTGCCGAAGGCTGGGAAAACTTAGCCTCACACTCGGGGCACCCATAAGGCTTGTGGCCCGTGTGCGTCCTTTCATGGAGCCTCAGGGCGGTCCTGGAGCTCAGCCCCTTTCCGCACTGCTGGCACTGATGGCGCTCCCCACCACCCTCATGAACCTGGAGAATGTGCCTCTTGACGTCCTTCTTCCTCTTGAACTTCTTACCGCAGAGCTCACAGGGGAAGCGGCGCTCGCTGCTGTGCACGTGCCGCTGGTGGCTCCGCAGGTTGCAGCGGTTGGCAAAGGTCTGCCCGCACGTCTCGCAGCGCAGCACCAGCTCGGCCGCGATGCCGTGGCTGTGCTGGATGTGCTTCAGGAAGCTCTTCTCGTACAGGAACTCCTTCTGGCACGTGCCGCACTTGAAGTTGCTGCCCCGCTTCTTTCTGTCCTCGCCGGCCTTGGGACGGGGGTTCTCCCCAGGGCGGCCGTTGCGCTCCGCGCCCTCCGGTTTGACGGCGCTCTCCTCTTGCTCCTCCTCTCCCTCCGGCTCGCACGGCTCCTCCTCCTCTGGGTATCTCTCGTCTCCGGCAGCCACCTCCGCGCTCTTCTGCTGCTCCCTCAGCCTCCTGGTGTACTTCTTCTTGGGGATTTCCACAAACACCTTCCTCCCGGCCAGCCTCCCGCTCGCCCTCCGGATTTTGGCATAAGGGGCCTTCAGCACTTCCTTCTTCTTGTCCACCTTCTCCTTTGATTTGGCAGTCGGCACCTCCGGGGACGCCCCGTGGCTGGGCCTGGCCGTGGGGGAATCCGGGGGATCCCGCTCGGCTTCTGCCACGGCTCTGGGCTCGGGCGGGACGTCTGGCTGGGCAGCGCCTTCCTCCTCGGAGCTCTGCGATTCCGAGAAGTTCTGCAGCTCCAGCAGCACCGACTCCAGCATCTGCTTCTTCAGCTGGAAGCAGGTCTCCGAGAGGTCCAGGCACTTGAGCTTCTCGGCCATCTCCAGCATGCGCTGCACCCTGTCCTCCTCCACCTCCACCCGGGCCGTGTAGACGAACTCCAGGAAGGAGGCGAAATCCGCCACCTGCACCTCGTTGAGGAACACGTTGCTCCGGGGCCCGTCCACGGCCTTCTCGTTGAGGAAAACCTCCTTGAAGAACTTGCTGGTGGCCGCCAGCACGGCCTTGTGGGCCACGAACTCGGCGCGCACGCCCTGGTACTCCACGCTCACCGTCACGTCGCACAGGTGGCCCAGCAGGCGCAGCTGGTGCATCTCGTTCAGCAGGTTGATGGGGGAGGACTTGGATTCCAGCAGGACCGGAGGGCTTTCCATCTTTCTTCCCCCTGCAAGAAGCTGTTGATGACACCCCGCGTTAGCTAGCCGAACTCCCGAGGGTTTCCAGCGGCCAGAAGCCACCGCCGGGGTTTTGGGTGTTTCAGCCAGGTTGGGAAAGAGCTCTTGGAACTGAGTCCAACCTTGGACTGCTCTCCACCAGACCACGGAGGAAATTTTAGCTTGAATCCCACCTGTAATTTTACCTGAGACCCCCTCGGGACTATCAGAACCTGGAACAGGGATGGAGCAACAGAGGGGGATCGAGGGCATGTTCTGGTGAAGGCATGGGGAGTTAAGGAATGATTCCTCTCCTCAGCAGGCAACAGAAGGTAAAACTAAGCAAAATTCATTGCAATTCTAAAAAGCACTGCCTTAACACCATTCCCAGATGAAATTCCAAGTGCTTCACCGACCCAGGCGTGATGGATAATCACATCCACACACTGAAAGCCCAAAAACAAAAGAACTGGTGTACAAACCGCATTTCTCTGGATTTGAAGAGGCTCTGAGCGACCTGCTGAGTTTAACCCTTTAATTCCTGCTGGAATCTGGGGATTTCCTTTCCCCTTCCTAGGAATTTAAGGACCACCCACCAAATGCCTAAACAGCTAATGGCATCAAAACGTCACTTTTTTTACCCCAATAAAGCGATTTTTAACCACTTGTCGCGCTATTTCACAACCATTCACCTAACTCCCGTTTGAGCACCGCCCGTCTCTGGGAATACGTCCCCTTTCCAGAGGGCAAAAAAACAGCTGGAAAGAGACAAAAAGCTGCGGCCAGGAGCCCCAGAAGGGGAACGGGGAGAGGATTCCCAGGGAGCTGGGGCAGGCGACGGAGTGATGAGCGCTCAGTTCCTGCTTCCAACCCTTTCTGGAAAGGATTCTGGATCACAGGGGAAGCAGGGAGCGCATCCCAGCGGAGCGGTGGGGGAAGAAGGGGAGGAGATGAGGGAGATGGAGATGAGGCAGGATGAGGGGAAGAACAGGGGGTCTCGGGAGGGGTTGGAGAGGCAATGTGGGGGGCACAGGGGAGGGATCCCCGCACTCACCGACCGCTCCGGGCGCCTTCCCGGCCGCTCTCCCGCCCAGCCCCGGGCGCGGCCGGAATTGCTGACGCTCCACGGGCCCGGCCCGCCCCGAGCGCGGCCGCGGCGCGCGGGAAGTGACGCGCGTGGAAGCGGGGGGGGAGTGGAAACGGGCTGGGCGGCACCCACGCCTTTATTGAATAAAGAGAAATGGGAGATTTACAGCGGCCGCGCCCGGATAAACACGCGCACACACACACACACACGCACATGCTCTCCCGGCCGCCCCGCCCCTTCCCGAGGGGATGCTCTGAGCTGCATCCGCGCGTCTGGAAAATAAAAACTCGGGGCAGATCTAAGCGTTTCGCTGCAATGAACACCCTCGGGAGGGGTTACACCCCCCTCCTCCACCTGGAATCCAGCTGCGGCGCTGGGGATAACTCCCCTCATTCTCAGAGATAATTTTCCCCATCCCGCGTATTTTTGGGGGGCCAAAACTGACCTTACGAGTACAAGAGGGAGCGGTCGGTGCCCCCGGTGTCCCCAGCACCGGGTGCCACCCGCGCTGCTGTTTTGGCACCTTCTGGTTTGTAAAGTTTCCCCTGGTCCACCGACCAACCCTCCGGGGCGGAGCCTCCTCCCGGATGGGCTTCCCCAAATGTCTCTATTTTGGACCAGTTATGGTCCTTTTTGGGGGTGAGATCGATCAGGAAACTTCGCCAGTGAGCATTCCGATCGTGAATCTGGGGAAAAAACAAAACAAAACAAAACAAAACAAAAGGGAGGGGGATAGGAGAACAATTACACCTGATTTTTAACTAAAATCACTTCAAAAATGTAAAACCACATTCCTGGGGTCCATCGTGTTACGGGGACTAAAGTCCATAATAAGCACCTAAAATCCCGAGTCCTTCCTCGAATGTTTTTGGCTGGAAGAGACCTCCGAAATCACGGAGTCCAAACTCTGACCGATGACCAAATGCCATGTCCGGCCATTCCCCGAACGCCTCCCGGGATGCTGCGCCTCTTCTCCCAAAGGCCGGGAGACGCCTGGATTCTGCAGCCACCAGTGGGAGCTGCTGTGCCGTCGCCAAAGGAAAATCCCACACTCCCGGAGGCCGGGAAGGCGCGGCCGCAGTTTCTATCCCACCCCACCCCACCCCACGAGGTGACCCCGAGGGCCGGAAGGATGCCGAGGGATGCCGTACCGCCACGTGTCTGCGCAGCGTGGACATGTCGGTGAAGGTCCTCTCGCAGGCCCGGCACTTGTAGGGCTTCTCCCCGGTGTGGATGCGCTGGTGCCGCCGCAGGGCGCCCTGCTGCGTGAAGGTCTTCCCGCACTGCTCGCAGAAATAGGGGCGGGTCTCTGGGAACAACCAATCCCGGGAGACACGGCGTTAGGAGAGGGGGCTCTTTGGCCCCCATCAAAAAAAAAAAAAAAAAAAAAAAAAAGAGAAAGGATTTTACAGTATCTATAAAGGGGGTGTGGCTGTCGCATCCCTGGAACTGCTCCAGGCCAGGTTGGATGGGCAGCCTGGGATATGGAAGGTGTCCCATCTTTAAGGCCCCTTACAGCCCAAGCCAGTCTGGGATTTTATGCCTCCATGATAAATATTTCTCCGCTGCCAAGAAACCCTAAAATCAGCTCTCTGATCCCGCAGGGGGAACTACAGCCTTTCTCTACTCCTGGCACAAACCAGGCCTCAGTTTTCTTGTGAAAACATCACTGATGTGACACGAGGTGTTCCTGTGCTCCACTTAAGGAGCTAGGATTGGGATGAGCCCCGCTTCCAGCACCACGGAGTCCCCATCCCTGGAGGTGTTCAGGGAACGCCTGGATGGGGCCCTCAGTGCTCTGGTCTAGTGACAAGGTAGTGCTCACTCACAGGTTCGACTCGATGATCCTGGAGGTCTCTTCCACCCTCTGTGATCACCTAATCCAAGGAGCTGTGGAATGAAATGCCCCCATCCAAACCGGGAAGAGCCCCAGGGGCCACGGATTTGTCTCCCCAGCGCCAAGGGGCGGTTCCATTACCTGCGTGGACGTTGCTGTGCTGGGCCAGGGAGGCCCTGAGGCCGAAGGTTTTCCCACACACCTCGCACTTGTAGGGCTTGGCGCCCATGTGGCAGCGCTTGTGGCACTTCAGGTACTCCTTGGTGGCAAAATGCTTCCCGCACACGTCACACTTGAACAGGCGCTCTCCTGGGGAGAGAGGAACGGGATTCTCACGCAGGAGTTTCGCACTCCAAGGCTGGTCTTCAAAAGCACAGGATCACTGAGGTTGGAAAAGCCCCCCGGGATCATCGAGTCCCCCCACCCTGTGCCTGATCCCCACCTCGTCACCCAGCCCAGAGCACTGAGTGCCACGTCCAGTCGCTCCCCTCTCCTGTCAGGGAGTTGTGGAAAGCAAAAACTTCCCCCCCCCGAGTCTCCTTTTTTCCAGGCTAAAAGAGCTTCTATCCCTACTGATTCCTTCCTGCTGCTTGGAGTCTACTCTGTGAATTACAAAAAAAAAAGCAAAGGGCACTTTGTTCACACCCCAACCAGCAATTCCTAGCAGTGAAAAGGGAAAACCACGGGAGAAACCACATGGGGTACTGAATGCCCACCTGTGTGTGTCCTTTTGTGGCCGGTGAGTTTCCCTTTGTCGGCAAAGGAAGCCCCGCAGTCCTCACAAATATACGGCTTCTCCCCCGTGTGGGACCTGAAGGAGGCAAATGATTATTTAATAAATCAGGTTTTAATCCTGTGGGCCTTCCCACTACCTCGTGTCCTGCAGACCCTACCTGGTGTGATATCCCCTTATTTAGGACATAGGATTTGGTCTTTACCCTGTGCTGACTTCCCTTATTCCAACCCAAACAGGAAATCCAAGCAAAATCATTCCTAATTCTGACTTGTCAAGCAAGAGGCTTATAATTTATCTGCTATGCAATCTTTTCAGGCAAAGATGGGAAATTTTCCATGGGATGATTCACCCTCTCCTGGGAGCGGACACATCTGACACAGACACCATCAGAGAGCAACTCATCCCGTCAAACTCAGTGAGTGCAGCAGGAGCCCTGAGGAGCAGCACTGAGTCCCACACTAATTCCTCGCTCCGAGATGGTCTCTGAGGTCCCTGACTCACTCTTTAGTCTACACTACTCTCGATCAGTGAATCCCATGGGATTTCAGAGCCTGCTCCAAATGACTGGCTCCTGCCTGCAAGTTTGGACGGGGCATCCGTGTCGAAATCCCGACCACGGGCAACGCAACAACCCCACAGAGGCGAAGCCTTTGCGTAAAAGGATTAATCACATATCCTACAATCCAAGTGATATCCCGGTGTTCCCGCTCTGAGGAGAACGACTCACAGCTGGGAAGCCAGGAGAGGATAAAGGCACTGCAGGACCCTGTGCGCGCAGGGAGGGGGAACGGGGAGACCGGAGGCTGACCTGGTGTGGATCTTCAGCTGGGAGGGCTGCGCAAACCTGGCGCGGCAGACGCCGCACTCGTAGGGCTTCTCTCCGGTGTGCGTGCGCATGTGGAACACCAGCGCCGTGCGGGAGCTCAGGATCTTCCCGCACACGGAGCAGAGGGGCCGCTTGGCACGGCCCTCGTGCTTCCGCACCGAGTGGGTCCGCACGTCCCGCTGCCGCTTGAAGGTGGCGCTGCACAGGGGGCAGGAGAAGCGCCGCTCCTCCGTGTGGACGCACGCCCGGTGCTCCTTCCAGCTGGTGTAGCTGGCGAAGCGCTTGCCGCACACGTCGCACCGGTACACCTTGCCGGGCGGGCACTGGTGCGCGTCCCGGCAGTGATCCACGTACCTCTTGCGGGACACGAACTGCTCGTGGCACTTGTCGCACCGGATCACGTAGCGGGGGTCCTTGCTGGCCCCGCTTTTACTGGCCTTCTGCGGTTCGGGCTCCTCGCCTGGTTCGTGTTCCTCGCCGCCCTTCTCGTTTGGGTGTTGGTCACCCTCCTCGGGGCACACCTCTTTGGCTGCACCTCCTTCAGCTTCCGAGTATCCCGCCTCATAATCGCCCTCCTCCTCGCCCTTTACACTCATCTCACCTTCATCTTCATGCCCTTCTTCGCTCCTTGCTTCGGCTTCCTTGTGTTTCCCGTCCTGTTCCTCTTGCTCCGTGCTCCGTTCTGCTTCAGCAGTGGATGAAGCCCCGGGTTCCTCCTCACTCCTCGTGGCCTCAGATGTCGCATCCCAAGGCTCTCTGTCGGGATCTTTGTCACAGCTTGCGGCGTTCGGTCCAGCTGCAGGTGGAACCACCATCCAATAGACAGGCAGGAGTTTCCTCTCTTGCCCAGACTCGTGGATTTTCCTGTTAAAATAAACAGAGTGTAACTTCAATGTGTTTAAATGAGACTCAATTAAAATTAATTAATTGTTTCAATTCAGACATGTTGGCCCAGGGGGAAGAGTCATTTCCTCTGAATCGCTCTTTGCACCATTTAAGAAATTCACAGTGTGTTTGGAAAGCCCAAAAACAGGGGAATTTTGGGTAGAGTTGGACCAGGTAATTAAAGGCACTTAAGATGTCTCAGTTCATCAAGGATCTATATTTGTCACCTGACTGGGAATGTAGGATGGACTGTAAATTTTCCTTATGGACTTAAACCGAGGGAAATAAAGATTAAATGCCAATAAAGAGACACAAAATTCTTATTAAAACCCCAAGTCTGAGGCTTCCTGGGTCTGGTTGCACAAGTCCCCTTTAATTCCACGGGAAATTCCCCGAATTCATCCGGGAGACCTCAGCCCACTCATCTGCACCGCGAGCTCAGTGAAGCTAACCAAAAAAACCTGTCCCAGTTTCAACACACTCCGTGTCACATCCAAGGAATTCTGGACCTGGAGCAGGGAGGGCTTTGGCAATGCCTTTATCCCCGTACGTTCCCGAGGGTGCTGTACCTGAGGTGGGTGCTGTAGGCAGACCTGTGGGCAAAGCTGGCGGGGCAGCGCTCGCACTTGTAGGGCCTCTCCCCGCCGTGCGTCTGGACGCGGCCGGAGAGGCCGCCCTTGGAGCCGCCCGCCTTGTCGCAGCAGGGGCAGGCCCGGCGTTCCCGCTTCCCATCGGGCGCCCTGCGGACGCGCTGGGCCGCGTCCCTGCGGGGTGTGAGCCCGGCGTGGCGGGAGGAGCCGCGCTGGTGGCCGTGGGCGCGCGGGCGGTGCTGCCGCAGGTTCCGCGGGGCCGGGGATCGCTGCCCGCACCCCTCGCAGCGGGGCCTGAGGGCCAGGCCGGCGTCGTGCTGGAGCTCCACGCGCTCCCGGTACTGCCCCACGCGCTTCCCGCACGTCACTGGCGCTGGGATTTTCGCCGCGGGCCGCGGCGATTTCCTGCGTTCTGTCTCGGTGGGAAACTGGGAAATTAAACTCTTTCCATCTCCCCACTGCTCAGGCAGAGCGCTCCTAATCATCACACAGGCTCCCTGTGCCTCAGTCTGACTATCCTCGTTTTCCAGTCTAATGATATCCACACCGAGGGTGTTTGTGGAATCTGGCTTGCTGCATTTCGGCAGCTTTGCTGTCCTGGGCTTTGGGTCTGGAAAAGCGGTGTCCTCTTGCTCCAGACCCGCTGCTTGGCCTCCAGTGAGCTCATAGCCCGCCAGCAACTTCTTATGTTTTTGCCTGTCCCAAAGTTTCCTCTGCACAGGAATTGCCACGACCTGGGAAGAGTTCCTCGCGCTGGGGTTCTCCTCATGCTGGATGTGAGGCCGCTGGGACCCACCACTTTCACCTCTCTGTCCCTTCAGGTGGAGGCTCAAATCCAAGCCCTTCCTGCCCTCTGCCTTCACTTCTTCACAGATGTCGAGCAAATCCTTGCATTCCAGTCTCTCGGCTATCTCCTTCATCCGCTGGAGCTTTTCCGCTTCGATCTCCACTTCCGCCGTGTACACAAACTCCAGGAAGGAGGTGAACTCCTCCGTGTAGATGTCCTGCAGGGTCACCGTGCAGGTCTTGGTCTCCAGCATCTCCTCGTGCAGGAAGAGCCCCTTGAAATAGTTGCTGGAAGCTGCCAGGACGGCCTTGTGAACCAGGAACTCCTCCTGAATTCCCAGGTGCTGGGTGTGAACCGTCACGTCACAGAGGTGCCCGAACTGGTACAGGGAGTGCAGGGCCCTCAGGAGGTTGGGAGCAGCGACCTTGGACTTCATCAGGATTTTCTTCTTCTCCATCCTGCCAGAAGAAACACACAAACGTCTGAGTGTGCCCCCACTTTCCCAGTTTTTCCATTCAAGTACAACATCAGAAAGCCCAGCAGAATTCCATACCCATATTCCTCCTTGCGAGACGCGGTAAAAACCTCGAGGTTATCCCTGCCAACACAACCACCATCAGCAAATGCATTTGGCTTATCTATGGAAAAATTAAATGGAAAAGACCTCCAGGATCACTGAGTCCAACCTTTGACGGATCATCACCGTGGCAACTAAACCATCCCCCAGAAGCTGCAAATTGAGGGGAAAGGGGCAAAACAAAATTGTCTAAATTCTGCTGGAAAAAGACCCCTCACATCCAAGCTCCTGCTGTGTCATTCCCACAGCCAGCAGGGATCTTTGCAACACTCCCAACTCAACACCTTCCAGCTCTTCCCCACGTGGAGACACAACCCCACCGCCGGCTCCTCCGGCACTCTTGGAAGCTGCAGAAAGAAGTGCAGGTTCGGCCCACAAATCCACAAAAGCTCCCAGTTAATCTGCTCCCTTAACGTTTTCCAACAGGATATCCTTGGTTTCTGTGCTGACCCCGGGGCTGTGCAGCTTAAAGAAATCAATCAGCACAGCACGTGCTAATTTCCTGCTGCTCCTCTGCAAGATCCCCATCCGCGATAAGATCCCGATCCGCGCTCCCACCGGAGCTCTGCTAACGCCAGGATCTGATACAAAGCCAGATGGAAGAGATACATTCCAAGATCATCTCTTAGTTCATCTGGTTCTGGATTAAACCACCCCGCAAACTGTTGGCTGAAGTGTCTTTCCAATGAAAAATGCCACAAATTAATCCATTCCCACCATTTTTTCCCTTCAGAAAAAAAAAATGAGGTTCAGGGGTTTAGTTCCCATTTGGAAACCAATCTTCAGTTTTCCGAAGGGCTGCTGAGTCTCTGTGTCTCCAAAACACTCTCTTAAAGAATTTAAACGACAACAATATTTTTTCCCCATATTTTATGGATTTGTTTGTAACTTCTTTCCAGCCCGGCAATAAGCAAATAAAAACTTTAAAGAATGTGCATGTGCACAAGATTTGCAGAAAACATAGTTCATGCAACAGATTAATTGCAAAAGCACTTCAGTTTTGCCAGAACTGATGCAAAACTCAAACCATATTTCAATTCAATTACAGCTCCTGATAAGGAACTGGAATAAGTGCAACTGGAATTAGTACAAGTGGAATTAGGGCCACTGTTTTAAAAAATAAAGCCCAACAGTGGCTCCCAATGTCCAAGAAGAGATTTATATTTGTATATATTTTTTCATAATATAAATATTCCCAAAATAAAATCCCATTGTCCACATAAATCCACCATGCTTTTCCCTCAAGTCTTTCCAATTACATCTTAAGTTTCTCTGTAGAGAGTGGAAGAGGAAGTTTTTCCTTAATTTATTATCTTTCCAGGAAGGATTCCTTTAAACTCTCAGTACCTGCACGAGCACAAACAACAAAGGGCTCAAACAGGGATCAAAATGAGAATCCCTGGAATATTGACAGGGTAAACAACCAGAAGAGCCTTAAAGATGGATTGTGATAATAAGAATATATTTATAGCAGTGAGACAACAAGGTAACAGGTAAGAAACAGCATCACCAGGAGATAAATAAAAGCTGGAGCTGCTCCACTATGTTAATCCCCTGGAAAATTCCTCACAGGAATTCCCACAGGGTGCAGGTACATAAAGTTAGGTAGGTCAGGACACTGAGCAAATAGTAACAGGTTTCCAACCTGTTTGGGGATTTCTGGATAAGCCGAGGAACATGCACAGCAGCTGCGCTTATGTCCCATTTGTGCCCCACAAAAATCTCCATTTACCTTATTGGAGAATTTCCATTTACCCTCCAGAGCATCCCCATTCACCCTCCAGAAAAAACCTCCGGCTATCCCCCAGAAAAATCTCCATTTATCCTCTAAAGCATCTCCATTTATCCTCCAGAACAATCTCCCAACCATCCCGCAGCACACTGCTGGCCGAATTCCTCCAAACGTCTTAAACTTTTTTGTTTGTTTCTTTGTTATTGTTTTTTTTTAAGACACACAGCCCTTCAATTACCTTCGATTCCCCCCTGGAAAGGCTCCTCCCACGAGGAAATCCAGGCCGCGCCCGCTTCCCGAGGCTCAGCATCCCCCGGGAACGATCCCGCGCCGCGCTGCTCCTCGTGCCGCCGGCACAGCTGGGCTCGTCTTCTGCCCTTTCATTTATTAAGTGCGGGCAGCAGATTTCTACGAGTGCGTGAAACCCTCCTGCAAGGAAAGCAGAGAGCGGGAATGTTTATCCCAGCGCCGGGCACCAGCGGGAGCCGCCTCAGGGCGCGGCGGGGGCACGAAGGGACGCGGCGGGGGCACCTGCCACCTGCACGGGGCGCAGCCCCCCGCCGGTGCAAAGCCCGGGGGTCTCCCTCTTGCCGGGCAGGAGGAGCCAGGATGGCTTCCGGGGGTGCATCCCGGGATTCCCTCCCGGCCCCTGCCCGCCCTCACCCGCCGCCACCTCCGCCGTGCCCACCCGCCCGCAGCCAACATGGCCGCCGCCGCCTTATGGCCCCGGCCCCGCCGCCATCTTGGGTGAGGGCAGGGCGGGCCCCACAGAGCCGGGGGGGAAAAACCCACCCCGGACCCGCAAAAAAACACAACCCGCAAAAAAACCCGCACCCCGAGTCAACACACATTAAATAAAATAAAATAATTTTTTTTTTCGCTCTTTCCAAGCGCCGCGTTTCGCTGTTCGGTCAGTTTCGATCGCCCTCGGCGCGTTTGTTTGTTTTCCCCGCGTGAATTAGACAGAGTGCAGTGGAGCTGAGCGATCCGCATCCAGCTCTCTGCCCTCTCCCCGTGTGGACACACTGGAATATCCTCTCTGCACACTGGGAGATAAAACGCTGGCCCTGTCAAGAGAGATGTTTAAAGAAACCAGCTCTGAACTCTTGATGGGGTAAATCTGGGCTTAGGAGAAGCACGAACTGCTATTTCCCACTGGTGATCCCACATTCCTGTTATTTATCACATAAAATCGTTTTAAACGGCTGACGTATGGGACAAATCTGTACTTCAACACACCAGTCTTGTTTCCAAGATAAATTCCTCCTTTGGTGCATTTTTTATTTTTTTTTTTTTAACCTAAGTGCAGATTTAATCTTAAAATTTTAATGGCTTGTAAAAATCGTTGAATGATTGTAATTCCTTGAGGAAATGTAAAAGAAATTCCTTCATAAAAATAAATCAGAAAAGGGGCTGACATCTATGCTGTTTACCTTTCTTTTTTTTTTTTCCCCACTTCTATTACACAGATTTGAGCCTTGACCCTGTAATTATCAGGCTTTTGGCCTGATATTAGAAAATGTTTGTGCATTTCTCTGAAAAGAAGCCTACTATAGGAAAGACAGAATAAAAATATTGCAAATCAAAATATTTTAAATGAAAATAGCTTGCGCCAACTCAATTTGCTTGGACAGTGAGAGCCTGAGAGGTAAATCCAGCCTGATGGATCACTCCCACGGAGGAGGGAATGTTTCCACCCTGAATTTGGTTTTCAACCCTGATTATTTTGTTTGTAGTCGGGGAATGTTTCTATTGTCGAGACATGGCTCTCGGAGCGGGGAGATCGAGCAGCAATATGAGTGATCCGCGCTGAAATGTCAGGATAATATTCCTGTACCTCAGCGCGAGGGAATGGTGTTTGCTTTTACTTTATCAGAAACCTGGTCTGCTCAACAGCTCTCACCCAGAGGAGTTGGGAGGGAAGATGAAGTGAAGGTTCCTGGCCAATTTAGTCCTGCTTTCGCAAGGACTGAGTGAATTGCTGGAGAAGTTGGCAGCACTGGGTTGTATCTGCGTGTCAATCTTTGCCGAGCAGCCCAGAAGGGGTTCTGGAATTGCTGCATGGCTCCAGGCTGGCTTTCACGCTGCCCTCGTCCACCAGTCTTGTTTCTCAGGAGATTCTCTTGATTCTCCAAATGTTCCATCCGCTCTCATGCACTTCAGGAGCTCCCTAGGACAGGAGGAAGTCTCCACGCTCCCCACATCTCCCTCGAGCGTCCTGGTTGCTGTGTGGGAAGAGGGAGAAAGGGTGTCGTAGTTGCTCTCTCCAAATCATTGATTTTCCTTTGGATTTACAACAGGAGGGATGAATATGGGTGGGAGGCAGCCAAGAGGTGTCTGAAGCATCTCAGTCTGAGGAAAACACTGAACCTGGGTGCCCTGCGGTGGGTCAAACATTCCAGGCACAGGGATGTTGTAATAAAGCAACTTGTTTTGCCCCTTGAGCCAAAACACAACAAAATCCAGGAAAGAATCACAGGCTGAGAACTCAGATTTTATCTGAGCATTTCCTTTGGCTGGCAGTGAAGAAATACCCCGGGCTCTGATGGTGGTGACTCAGAGCAGGGGAAGGGGAGAAGCTGGGAGTCAGCCCTGCCACCCAGGTTACAGGTTCTGCTCCTGACCCGTTGGACACTCACCCAGGATCAGCCAGGACAGCTCCAGCAAAGCAGGGAATGGAAATATCCCCAAATTCCAGGCTGGCTGCTGGGTGGAGGGAAGCTTTCCCTACACAGCATCACCTGCTTGGCATCGGGGCACTGGTGGCTTTGAGCCAGACTGGGGTACGTTTTTGGAGACCCCAAACTGTGCCTCTTCCCTGGACGGCTCTCCCTTCCTTACGGCTCCACCAGAGGATGCTGCAGACTTTGGAAAGAGCAGCCTGGAGTGCAGCCCTGCTCATCCCTTCCAGCATTCCGAGATCCGTGTCCAGTGACTCGCTGGCATAACCTGGAGCTCTTTACATGCACATGGAATCACCTGAGTTAAATAGTTAGGGATCCTGGAGTGAGGATATGCTGGGGAGGATAGAAAGAGGCTGGTACAAACAGCTTCCCTTGGTGGACCATTCCTACCTCTTGCTGTTCAGCTGATCTTTGCATCAGGAAGAATCCCACCCTGGAAGTGCAGGGAGGGCTTCAGAAAGCCTTTTCCCGAAGCTCTCCTGGGTGGGAGCCAAGCCACCACTCAGCAAACCTCTGAGTTGTCCCCCCAAACAGAGACAGAGCTTTCAGCATAGTCTAAAAATGCAAATTCCAGACGAACTCCTGATGGAAAGCAAACAGCAGGCCCTCGCTCCATGTGTCAGCTCTGCTTAGGCTCTCCTGCTATTCTCCATAATAAATTTTGGCACGTGATTGTGCTACAAATCAAACATACCATAAATACTCCCCCTCGTGCTGTTCTATGGTCAGTCTCAAAAACCAGGAGTTATGTGTATTCTGGCCAAAAAAATTCCAAAATCCTTGTGTCACTTGAAAAACAACGGGAATTGATAAAAATCCTTGTGTGCTTTGTCTTAAAAGGAGATCTTAAAATACTTGGGAGAAGCAAAGTTTTATTCACAGCAAAGTACGATCTGTTTTGGTGGACAATCCTCAAGTCCCAGGTCATGAAACTGTGGAATGGTTTGGGTTGGAAGAGACCTTAAAGATCATTTCCTTCCACCCCCTGCCACGGGCAGGGACACCTTCCACCATCCCAGGTTGCTCCAAGCCCTGTCCAACCTGGTCTTGAATGCTCCCAGGGATGAGGTAGCCACAGCTTCCCTGGGAAAACTGTACCAGGGCCTCCCCACCCTCACAGGCAAGAATTTTCCCCTAATATCCAACCTAAAGCTACTCTCTTTCAGTTTGTAGCCATTGCCTCTTGTCCTGCCACTCCAGGCCCTTGTAAATGGTCTGTCTCCATGTTTCTCGTCACCTTCCTGATGTGGACCATCAGTTCCCGTTCCCTACCGTGATTTACTTTAACCAATGTGGTTAGAACTTAATTCAAAAGCCCTTTTCACCCCTTGCTGTTCCCTCGTGCCATCGAGTCAGCAGATTTGATCCCAATTTCATGTTCCTGCTCCAGGGACACATCCAAAAGTCACTGGAAGGGCTGCCACCGAGGTCAGGACCCTCACTCGGGAGGGTCTCTCTGGAATGAGCTGGGAGCCAGGTCAGCAGCACCCTGGGCACTCAGGCGCCCGGGATTTTGGCTCTAGCCCACGGATTGCTGCTTTTCCCATCTCATTTTTCTTGGTGGCTCATTCCTGCCTATGATAGGATGTATTCCCACAACTTCAGGGAAGGGGGGCAGGGCTGTTTTTGGGTTAATTCGTTCCCATCCTGACCCCACACTCGTGACAAGTGGCGTGTTAGGGCGATGGAAACCCAAATTTAGGGAGTGTATCAGTGATGGCTTCCTTTTGTTACTAAATAAATCCTCTGCACAGCTCGTTTGCTCCCTGCCCTTGTTTATTACACATTTTTAAGCCATTGGCACATTGTAAACTTCTTTGTCTTCTCCTTTTTCCAGAGAAACAAAAATGTTTTAACCCCTTCTAAACCTGAGGTGTCCAACCCAACAGTTACCTGTGGAAGTGCCTGATTTTCTATCCCATTCCAGGGAATACTGAAGGTCTGTCACAGCTCTCAGACATCATTTCCCTCCTTTTTTTTTTTTTTTTTAAACTCCTGAACTCTACCAGTTAAGCCTATCTTTAAATAGTTTCGAACAGTTAAGTTGAAGTCAAGCCCGTCTTTAAATAGTTCTAGTTGAGTTTTAAATAGCTGAGTTTTAAATAGCTGAGTCTGGGGGTTCATAAGGACCATAAAGATCCTGTTTCTCCATCAAGGATCTAGAAAAGCAGGTGGATGATGTTTAGTCTCAGCCTAAGGGACAGGATGTTAATGCTTTCTCTTCTTGGAAACAACCTCCTCCTGTTTAGCTACAGGCACTTCAATATAAAACAAATATTCGATCAGCAAAAGGAGGGGGGAAAAAAAAACACCCTTTTTTTTTCTTTTTCTTTTTTTTCTTTTTTTCTCCACTGTGTCCCTTCCAAGTCAGCCCCTTCTGTGCTAAGGCCATACGGATTGCAGGGGATCACAGGGAATAAATTAACATTAGCACCTCGCTCCCAGCCAAAAGCAACAGAGCAAAACAAACCCCCAAAGTTATCCCTGATGGCAAGAAAAGAGCGATTCCTTGCCAGGTTTACAGTCCCAGCCTCGCTGATCTTATCGGCCGCCCTGTTGACCGAGGCCCCGGTTAAAATAGCTGCTAGTCTGATGGAGGTGCTGCCAGACAAACTCCACCTGATCCCAGCTGTTCACTGGGAAGAGCTTGAAAGAAAATGGCTCTGAATACGTTGGACTAAGTGGTATTTTGGCAACGA